ACTATACAAGGTACTCAGGGTGGTTGCTAGGGAGTTGCTATGTGGTTGCTAAGGTACGTGATGTGGTTGCTTTGCGGTTGATAACGTGTTCAGGGTGGTTTATATGGTGTTGCTATGCAGTTGCTAGGGTACTTGGGGTGATTGCTTGGGAGTTGCTATGTAGTTGCCAGGGCACTTGGGTGGTTGCTGTGCAGTTGATAACATGTTCTGGTTGGTTGCTATGTGGTTGCCAAGGTACACAACATGATTGCTAGGGTGTTGCTGTGTAGTTGCTAAAGTACATGGGGTGGTTGCTAGTAGGGCTGTGTATCACCAGTAAAGTCATTTCACCTCAGCAGAATTCAATAAAACAGCTGTTTATTAAACACTGCATACTGTAGGACCACTGCTGACTGTAGGCGGAGCAGACAGTTGATCTCTGCATTATGAAGAGCCTCCAGAACTGTATAATATCAGTAATGGTGCAGGTTTCACGTTTCAACATTGGGCACTCTTGACCAGGTACAATATTATGATTGTTTGCATCTTGTTTTCAAGCCCATAAATAATACTGTCCTCGTTCTAATATATTTATATTGTAATGTCCTCATTCTAATATATTAATAAAATCATCTTTACATTGCTGGTAGGTGATCATTGCACAAATGCTCTAAACTAATGCGCTGTCTTCACTGCAGTTCACACGCACACATTCAGTCACTCACACAGATTGAGCTACACAGAAGCTTCAGAAGCGATGCAGGTGTTTTGTAGTTGGATGTAAAAGTGAACATAAGAGTCTTCATTTTCTCCTGACATCAGAGTCACTGAGGAGGCAGTGGATTTATTTAGTTTTTGATGGTAACACCACCGGTGAAGAAACATGGCTCGCTGTGAACAGAGCTGTTTTTGACAAGGTAAAAAGGGTGTTGTTTTACACAACCATTGATGAATTTTAACCAAAGTATGTTTTCATGTATGTAGTATGCATGTAGTATGTAGTACTAAAGAATCATACCAACTTGTGGAAAATGGACATCTGATGTCCCCTTTAAAGTTAGGGCTGTTTTGTTCTTTCATTTACAAGTTGTTAATATTTGCAACATAAGTTATCATTGTGAATATGTTTGTTTCTACCTTTTATGGAAGCTGTAGGGAGGAGCCTGCTATTTTTATTGTGTTTTCACGGTTTGCTCCGGTTTTGTGGCCAGTTAGGGGGTGAGTTAAAGTACTACTTTGTTGTTAATTTGTTTTGTCTGAGCAGTCTAGTTAAGATTTTACTTCTCAGACTAGTGCTCTTTAAATCTTAAATATTGTTGCATCCTCTAAAAACTCCTAGACTCATATAGATATACCCAGAGACACTGAAAAGTTTAAACAATAAAACCTAAAACCTCTTCCTGCTCGACATACTTGAATTTGTCCAGTGAGCAGTTTGGATCCGCCAGTTTTTTAGAGAGCAGCTTGACTCCTGAATCTCCCGGGTGATTATAGCTTAGATCCAGCTCTCTTAAGTGTGAGGGGTTTGAACTCAGAGCTGAAGACACATAACAACATCCCTCCTCTGTCACCATACAGCCAGACAACCTAAAAACACATACAGAAACAGTCCACATCACATTAGTTTGTTTGCTCTGTATATCACATTATGTGTTGTATCCTTTTTGTATCAAACTAATTATTCAATAAAAAGTATTGTGCACATTTATTATCATTCTGAACTTGTCAGTCGGGTCAAATATGTGATATATTCATAAAGTCTGTTCTGTCTCTGTGAATGTGCAATTAGCTTGTTTGTGTACTGAAAATCGGATTATTTTATTTTAAAGATGACCGAGCAATGCGCTGAGGAGGTAGAAGCATAGAAACATATGCTATTCACACAAGCCTCATTCATACTAATGTGCTCATATGAGGACATCCTCAGACCTCAGCATTAG